TTTTTAACTGTTAATTTATCTAACTTAGGGTGAACATTCATATTTTACTGAAAAAAACATTAATATAGTTAACTAATGGGTGTGTTCCTGGACACTGCTGGGAGTTTTACACAGTCTAAAGCCTAAAAATTTTACTTTGAAAACTCATCTGGCCTCAGGACTTCATATAAGAAATTATGAACATTTCAACCTGCAAAATAATACTGAGATAAACTGTTCCTATCAGTATAATGTAAAATGTTTACTCACCATATCATCCATTTCTTCTTCTTTACTGTACCGGGCATAATCTTTTCTTAAAGTTCTCATTAAAATCATTGAAACTAAGCCCACCAAGAAGATTACCATCATGAAGGAGTTGAAAATTGAAAACCAATGAATCTAAACCAAGAGAAAATAAAATGTAACCAACATGAAATAGTCACAGGGATTACAGGTATCATGAGCACAACTAGATGTTTATGGAAACAAAAAAGATTTAAAACCTACATAAAACTCCAAACCTAAGGCACGTTGAGGTAAGTATTCACTATGTCAAAGAATTGGTTTTCTTTATAGTATGCTTCCACACATTGAAAACATGCTATCATCCACACAGAAGTTCACAATCAAATTAACTGTACCAAAAAAGTACCACTTGGTGACATGATATGTGCAATTCAGCATTACACAGAAAGAAAATCGCATCTGGAGTCAAATAGGCCTGGTTATGTTAACACAGACTATCAGTTTCTAACTAGGTAGTCACAGTTTTCTCATCTGAAGAATGGAGGAATCACAGGTAATTTGTATGGCTTAATGACATATATAAAAAGCATGTCATTGTGTCAGGTATAGAATAGTAGTTAACAGTAGTAACAATAAATGTTAGTTCTCTACCCTTAAATGGACAACAATCCGAAAATCTTAAAACACCACAATCAAGCCATAACACTTAGCTATCATAGACTTAGGCTGCTTTCCTGAGTTGTTTCACTTGCTTCCAGTTAATTCATCCTCTCCATTCTATCACCCTCATTATTCAGTCCTCTCCAAATTAGTCACCCATGATACACAAAACATTGAAGTATCCCTTAGATCCTCAATATTCTGAAGGCTCCTTGGTTTGATTTTACCCACACATTAGTCACAAAAATATGCCCAGACTGGTCCATAATCACAAAGTACTACTGTGTCTCTGTGTGCATACCAGAATTCGGTGCATCTCACTTGAACCTGGTCTGTGACACTGCCCTATTACTCCTTTACTTACATTTCAGTTACCAAAAGATCGTTAAGGATTGCTCTGAAGTTTCTCTTCTCTCTTCAAGGTCCCAACAGCATCCTCTCTCCGGTCTTCTACCACCCAGAAGGACATGATCTTTGTTCAAGTAGGTTTTTTTTTTTTTTTCTTTGAGACAGGGTCTCACTACATCGTTCAAGCTGGCCTCAAATTCACAGAGATCCTCCCAGCTTCCTAAGTGCTGGGACTGATTACAGGTTTAGGCCACTAGGCCTGGTTGTTCAAACAGGCTTCTAAACTTGCATCCCTCCTGCCACTCTCCTAGAAGCAATTTCCCTTCTGAAGCCAATCTTTCTTCTATGCCAATGGTATGACACAAATGCTGCAGCAGCACACAGAGCCCTCTCTGTTGGCCTGGGAGCCAAGCCACTCCAGCAGAGCAGTATTCAGGTTTAACTACAGCCTTGGCAACTTTGTAATAAGTGGATTTAGGTTTGCAGTTTGAACACTTAGTCTCTAAATGGCTTACTACCATCGCTGCTCTAGGCTACAGATCTCATTCACTCTGAGGTGTCTTTCTCCTCTTATTTTGGACCCCTAAACCTTCACCTTTTTCCAGCATTAACACTCTCCAAAGGTTTTCCAACTGTAACAGTATTTACCCCTTGGAGCTGTCATAAAGTTTAAATCGGATAATAACCATAAAGAATAGTGGCAGGCATATCTAAAAACACTAAAACAGAAACTGAAAGTTAGTGTTACTAATATCTTTCAAAGTATTTGACCTTTTGTTCTCTCATTCCTCTGATCTTTGGTCTCATCTCCCTTTGGATGTCAATACTTTTCAAATAATTACACGTTCCATTCCTTTTCTCACTTCCTGCAAAATACAATGCATGTCACTTTTGTCCTCCCCCAAATTTCTCTCAAAGGCCTGTAATGAACTTCTAAACAGATTCAGCAGTCAATTTATCTGTTCCCGCTCCTTGATCTCTCTGCCACCCTGACCTGTCCTAACACCCTCCCATCCCACCTCCCCTCTTTCATCTTCTATGTTCTTCCTCCCACCCTCTTTGAACTTCTCTAAAATTTCCAGGCTTAGTACTCTGCTGTGACTTCTTGGACTTTCAGAACTTATAAGGAGCATTGCAATGGCGACACCCTCCATTCCTTATCCCCACCCTGCCCTAATCTCTAGCCCGCCTTCTCACAAATGTTTCAAACCTTTTGTTAACTACAATAATTTACACTTGAATACCTTTCTGGAATTTCAAATTCAGATTTGAATGCCTGAATGATTATAGTAAACTCATAATTGTAATTGTCCCTCACATATAGCACTCATTTCTGATTCTCTAATATCTACTAATGATATTAGCCTTTCTGAATATCATGTTCAAATATCACTCCTCTATTAAGACAGATATACCCTATTTCTTTCATATTGAAGTTAAACTATTTCCCCAATCGTCTATATTCCACATAGACCATGGCCAACTTATTTTCTCTACTCAACCTTTCTTTCCATTATACTATATATCCTAAACAGGCCTATTCTTGTTCAGTGACCCACAAATACAGCTTACTAACTTCCATCTTTTTATTTTTTCCATAATTTCTTCTCAATGGGACTTACTTCTATCTTCATTCATAAATTTTACCTACTCTAAATTCCAACTTAAACAGTGCTCTTACCTCTATAAAACCTCCCATCTACATGTTCCAGTTTTTCACAAAAATCTTTCTGCTCTAAATTCTACAACTCAATATACAGAAAACAATATACAATTTACTGTCCTGCATACTTATGAGAGATATTAATTGATTAAGGCTAATGTGCTGACGGTATGCACCAAGGTGAAGGGCAGTTTTTGCTCTGCTATCTTGCCCTAAGGCATCAAGGAAAAGACAAAACTCTAGCTCTTCCTCAAAAAGGAAGACAATTGCTTATGCCTCTTCATAAGATCATTTCTTTCTTTATTCAACTATTTATTGAACACCTACCAAAATCATATAGGAAACAATGAATGAATTATATTTTGAAATGTCTACCCCAAAACAGTACATAAATTTACCATGAAAGTGCCTCCTAGGACTTATAAAAGCAGTCTATAATGACAAGACTTTTCCAAGGATTTCATTTTGTTCCTACTTAGGAAATTAATAACCCAGAAAAAATTTAAAAAATATAAATATATATAACTCATATATTGTTTTAGCCAATTTATCAAATTTTTAAAGAAAAATTGTACATAGTTATATTTAGTAATAAGAAAGATACACCCAAAATGCTAAGCTTTCTGTGCATATGCTTTGTTTTGGGGGTGGAAGACTGATCTCTGACACAGAGGTTTTTTTTGGTGGTACCAGGGATCAAACTCGGGTCCTTGCACTTGAGAGGCAAGCCACGTAACCGCTGAGCTAAATCCCTGGCCCCTCTAAGCTTTCTAACATGGACAAAAATGGAGATCATTATGTTAAGTGAAATAAGCCAGGCAAAGAAAGACAAGTATCACAGGTGGGGGGTAGGGGTACTCTGTAATCTCAGCACTCTGGGAGGCTGAGGCAGAAGGATCACAAGTTCAAGCACAGGCTGGGCATTTTAGGGAGACCTGTCTCAAAATAAAAACTAAAAAATGGGGAAGGTGTGGGTGTGTACAGTTAATAGTGCAAAGTTCAATCCCCGGTACAGCAAAAAAGAAAAAAAGAAATATTGCATGATCTCACTCATACATGGAATCTAAAGTTTGATCTCCCAGAAATTGAGAGGAGAATGGTGGTTACTGAGGGTGAGGAGAGTAGGAGCAGAAAAGGATGGAAAAAATTATAGGTGCAAGTTATGTTACATGAAAGTAAGTAGTTCTATTATGCTATTATACTGTAGGGTGACTATGGTAACAATAATATACTATATTTCTCCCACTGAAGTACTAACCAGAGCCTATCCTGCTTAGCTTCCAAGATCAGAAGAGATCAGGAGCATTCAGGGTGGTATCGCCATAGACAATGTACTATTTTTCTAAAAGGACTTCAAATGTTTGCACCATAAAGAAATGATAAATGTCTGAAGAGAGATATTTACCCTGATTCAAACACTACATGATGTATACGTGCATGTAACATAACATCACAAGGTACCTAATAATTATGTATTTTATGGTTGTTAAAAATAAATCTAAATTTTAAAACAGCAAACATTTCTAATACAGCTATCTTCTTATATCTAAGATACAAATTTTAAACCAAAACCTATTAAAATTCAATACCAATGGACTGCCATTTATAACATTCCTTTATTCTAAAAATTATGAAATGTGGTATGATTTGGGAATTTTTATGCCAGGAAAAACATTTCTTAAAAATAATAAAGAATTCGATATCACACAGGGGTTACTGACCCTACCTGCTGCACTCCAGCACCCCCTAGTGCTACTAATGCTAGAGCTGTACCCTCAGTCTGGCACCAATTTTGGACAGAACTGGAGATGAACAACAAACTTTACTAACACCACTGCCTCACCATGAGTGCCTGCTGCTCACCAAACCCCAAATGAAATGTCTTACAAACATTATCAGAAAAACTTCCCTACAACTCTGCAAGGTATTAGGATCCTTGCTAAGTAAACAGAATCTGAAAATCTTGAGTCATTTGACCACATCAGTGAATGGCAGGGCCAAATTGGATTTGCCTTGAATCCCTATGCCTGTGCTTTTTTTAGTCAATGAGTTAGAAACAAATGCTACATTTCTTATATCTTAAAAGAAATTTCCTCACTCTGTCTTCTCTACAGGCCACTGCATCATTTCTTTGCTCGCTTTTACAGCCAAACTCCTCAGAAGATCATATGTGCACAGTGGTTCATGCCTATAATCTCAAGACTGGGAGGCTGAGGCAGGAGGATCAGTAGCTGCAGCCAAGCCTGAGTAACTTAGCAAGACAGGGTATCAGAAATAAAAAAGGCTGGGATACAGCTCAGTGCAAAGGCCCTGGATTCAATCCCTACTATCACAGAAAAGAAACAAAAAAAACAATTCCTGTCCTCTATTACAGTAGACTCCATTCAGATTTTTAACCATAGTTACAATAAAACCACACTTTGTCAGGTTTGCAAAAAACTTCAAATGACTCCAACAGTCCCTTTTCAGTATGTACCATTATATGATATAGTTTGGATCAGGAATGTCCCCCAGAGGCTCATGTGTTGAAGGCTCAGTGCCCAATGTGGCAATACTGCATTGGTAGTGGAAACTTTGAGAGATAGTAGGAGGTCTCCAATCACTGGAAGGTATCGCCTCAAAAGCATATGTTGAGACTTTTCTCAAAGAGAACAGTTACTCTAGCCCTTTTCTCTCTCTTGATTCCCTGCCAAAAGGTGAGCGGCTTTGCTCTACCACACGCTTCCCACCATGGTACACTGCCTTACCACGGATTCCAAGCATTATGGCCAACTATTCATGGACTGAAACTTTCTCTCTGTAAGGTGATTATCTCAATTATTTCATTATAGTAAAAGAAAGCTGACTAAACACATCATACCGACCCACCAGCTACAATTTAGAATTTCTCTTTTCTCCATAATCACTTTGTTCTCTTGGCTTCCAAAGCACTGTATGTTTCTATATTCTCCCTTCAAAGTCTTTAGCTACGTTTTCCTTTTCTCTCTAAACTCTTATTACTGATCCCAGGACTTATCCCCTTTCACTCCCCTGCTGAAAACACATTTACAATAATCCCTCAACCCTTTTGCATTCAAGAGTGAAATCCAAAGTCTTTATACTGGCCATGGATGATCTGGTTTCTACTACCTTTCTAACTTAATCTTCCTGCTATCCCTCAAATAACTATAAGTGTGTTTCCACTTCTAACAGATTTTCCAATGGTGCTGTCTCTGCCTAGAATACCCTTTCCTTCAGATATCAATGTTCCTTATTTCCCTCATCTCTTTCAAGCTTCTGCTCACAAGTCCCTCTTAAGACTTAGCCTATCATAATTAAAACTGCGACTCACCATACGGGAGATATCCTTGCTCTATTGCTCTTCTTTTCTTGTTCACTGTACTACAAGGATAGTCTATGTCATTTATGAGAATAGAATGTAAGCTCCAAGAGGGCATAGATCTTTGTCTTTTATTTTCTAATGTGACCTGTTTACCTAGACACAGCTTGGCACATAACACATGCTCAATTAATGGGTACTGAAAAATAAACACTTCCTCTGCAGAAGGCAATGTTTCCTCTAAGTCCTCAATACCCAGTGGGATTAAAAACAAGATAGATGTAAAGTACCTGTTGAGAGCTCTCATATTCTCAAATATTATCTAAATTTTAAAGTAGTCTGTGACCATAAATGTAACTGGATTCCTAGACTGCGGACTAAGACTGATTACACCTGCGAAGTATCCATGCATGTAGGGGGATATAGGGGAAAAAGGTATATACAATAGAAGTGAGCTAATCCTTCAGTGAGAATTACGTTTAGCTTAAATCCTAGGACCCTGAGGAAGATTGTAAGCAGTGATAGGCTCTAGTGGAACCTAGAAGCACTAACATAAATCTGAGATCATAAAATCTTACAGGCCATCTCAAAACTAGGCAATTAATAAACTTCACAATTCCAGGTCAAAGATTATATCAAAAGAAAGATGAAGTCATTCAGGAAGAAATGGATAGATCCCCTTATAAAATATAGACTTGTTATCTCTATCCTGAAAGAAAGGAACCACCAAAATAAGACCTATTATTTGCTCTGATGAACCAAAACTACCTATGCAAAACTAGTACCAATGCTACCAATGGGTCTTCAGAGCTGAGATCCAGTTTTTATCTGTTGGTGGGAAGTTAGGGATGTGGGAGGCATTTCTTTCCAGTCTTGATGTTCCTTTTTTAAAAAAATTTCTTTCTTGCTCTTTTTGGTTTTTGAGACAAGATCTTGCTATGTAGTTCAGGCTGGCCTTGAACTCCTTATGTAGACCAGGATGGCCTCAAACTCAGGCAATCCTCTTGCCTCAGCCTCCTGAGTGCAGGGAGGCATGCACCACCATGCTTAGCCTGATGTTCCCTTCTATGTAGAGAAAGTTCCACTAGCAAAAGTTCATAACCTCGCTCTGATCTCTCATTCATTCCACTACAAGAGGGTGGATGCATTCTGCTGTTTCTTCACACTCTAAGTTTTACAAGGGCAGGTGCCCATATCAGGAAGCATGTAATAGTCCAGCACTGAATATGTTAACTCTAAGTTTCAGTCAGTAGCAAGAAGTCCATTTGACCATGGATATAAGCTATAATCTCAAATACTAGTATCATTAGTAATAACGATACAACTATGTCTCCCACATAGTATATTCTTCATGTATGTCATAATCGGTTTAAAACATAGCACAGCAGTGTCAGAGATTTAGCTCAGTGGTGCTGCACCTGCCTAGGCAGCACAAGGTCCTGAGTTTGATCCCCAGTACCGAAGAGGAAAGAAATAAAATAGCACAATGAAGACAACCTTTTGATTATAGCTCTAAAACTCCCTTACCACCCTTATGACTCAAAGCTCACATCTGAAATCACCATTAACTGAATCTTGAAATCCATAACCCTTAGTGCTTTACATAAAAGATATGCTTAGTGTTTGTGAAACTGATTTGCATATATATATACAATGCCTTAAAATATACAAGACTATTTACCTACCCTATGTTGAAAGAAGGATGGATCAAGATATTTGTCAAATCGATCTTCAAATTTTACATCTGATTTTTTCCACTTTACCTGAAAAAAATGTTTCATTTGAAAGTCAAAGCTAATAAACAAATAAATAATCTGATGACAAAAGCCTGTGTAAAATTCAACTTTAGAATTAAAATTTAAAATTAAAATAAAAATTTAGAATTAAAATTAAATAGAGAAATGGTGGAAAGTTACTGATAGTTTGAGAAATTAAAACAAGTATGACGAAACTAACTAAATTTCTATTTTATGTATTAACAAAACTCAACTTTCCTTAGTGGGATCATTTCAGTTTTCAAGAACTATCATTATTTTTGGCTTACATACCCTGACCTGACAGCTGTATGAAGAACTAAATTAATAAAAGCTCACATCACAAGTGTTTAAACCAATTAAAATAAAAATCTGTACATCTTTATCTTCAGAGCACATTATTTTTATTACCAAAAATCACATTTTCTGCACATTTTTATAAATATTATTTGCACTAGGTACATACATAAAGCTTTAAAAACTTTCAAAATTGGCTACAAGTGATGCACTCATTCCAGCTACCAGGACAGTAACTGGCAAATAAGCTACCTACACTGAATTTCTCTCTTTTTCTTTCTACCGCTTTTAAGCTTAACACAACGTAATAAATTTGATGGTTAGCCCATCTGCCCATCAGCTGGAAATTGGATAAAGATGATGTGGTTTTTCTATAAAATGGAATACTACTCAGCCATAAAGAATGAGAAAGTAAATTCATTCATAGGTAAATGGGTACATTTTGAGGATATACTCCTAAGTGAAATAAATAAGTCACACATATGCAAATAGCAAATAGTTTCTCTGGTGTGAAAAACTAAAATAGTACTCATGATCCTAACGGGACAATTAGCAATGTGAAATAGGAAGAAAAGGACCAAAGGTGTAGGGACAGTGAGAAGGATAGGGAAAGGGGAATTAGGGAAAAGGAAAAAAATATGAGAAAATGTAAAACTGGAATTAAAGTGTGTGAAAGTGGAGAGGGGAGGAGGGGGTGAAGGGAGGGTGGGGACAAGAGGAAAAAATGAGAACCAAGACCTGGCATGTAAAGGTACAAGATCCCAGTAATGAATGTAACTGTACTGTCTACCTAGAATGTACCAATAAATTTAATTTAAAATTTTAAAAAAATAAGTAAATAAATAAATTTGACGGTTGCTAGAGAGTCCAGACAAGCTCTTACTCTGCAAAAGTACATCTTTCCAAAAGATAAAGCAAACCACAGTAAATTATTTCATTCCAGCAACTCTCATCTCTATCTGCAACAGTAAAACAAAAAACAAAATTTTAAAAAAATGATATCAAGTATTGTGATCTAAATATGTAACCATGGAAATACATGGCATGGGTTAGCTGACCTGCACAATTATAACAGTAAATGCTACTAGAGTAAATGGTCAGTCCTACAAATGCATTACTATTAACTAATACTACAGACCTAAAACACTTCTTGCTTTTAGTAGGCTTACACTAAGGATATAATACAGTATGCCATTACACAAAATGTCACACTACATTTTCAATTACTTTTTTTCTGGTTTTTTGAGGATCTCACTATGTAGGCTGGTCTTGAACTCACTATGTAACAGAAGCTGGACTTGAACTTGCAGTGATCCTCCTCCTGAGTGCTGGGATTATATGCATGTACCATCATGCCCAGCTCTACATTTTCATTTACTAAAGCTCCAAAACAATTAATCACAAACACTTCTTCCTACATATTATATTTTAGTACTTACTGAATATGACATCTGTATTTTAGTATTTGGAACCAACTTCACCTTTCCTTCACTAGTTAGATTAACATCAACAATTCGATTTCCATTAAAACCTATTTCAAGTTTTTTATAGGTCCAAAGATAGTAATCTTCTCCATTCTCATCTGCTTCACCAACAATACCTATAAAACAAAAAATATTTCATAAAAGATAATATCATTTAGCATTGAAAATATTCCAGAAGCTAAAAGTTTATTAAAAAGTTTTATACTGGCTTGACTAGTATTTAACGAACACTACGGACATATCAGACACACTGTGGGGTCGCGGTGAAAAAATGATGAAAGCTAATTTGATCACTAATCACCAATTTCCTCTGTGTTCACGCTTTGTCATTACTATTACCTCCACTGCAACAATTGTCACTTTATATGTGCATACTCGACATTTCCAAATTTTAAGGAAATGAGATGTCACCATTTATCAAGGTTACCCAGCTACTAGTGATCAAGCTATAATTATAAACAAGGTTTCCAGAGGCTCAGTCCACTCTTTCTTCAATAACTTATCATCTGCCTGTTCCTATAAAGATGCCTGTGTTTTTGTGTGCCCCTCTGACGCACATGTGGATATGACCAATACTCAAAATATGCCTCCTCTATGTGCCTCAGTCATGGAAACTCTGAGAGACCATTAGATTGGAAAAAGTGTTGAAGATAAAATGATAATGAGGTAACAGCTTAAAACGATCACTTTAATCATGATTTGAGATATTAGAAGGTGTAAGGTCTTCAAGCTGTCAGCTATTTGTCCAGTGTTCCCCACCAAAGACTACACTTCCCATGAGCCTTATACTCTATAAATTACTTCTCAGGGCTTTTTTTTATGGTCAATGAATTCCATTTAAAAACTAGGGAAAAATATTTCTTATAAAGGATTATTTGTTTATTAAACAAAGTGAGTCCCTAATTGGTACAAATTCAAGGAGTAAAGTTTTGCTTTGTTTGGGGTTGTAGAGGAATAATAAAATCCTCCTAATAATTTCATTAAACTGTATTTACTTATCTACTCTGAAAACCAGACTTTGGGAGTAAAGACACCAAAGCTTTTCTCAAAGATGGTTTTAAAAGATTCTGAAAGCTTTACTCCCCAAAAATATCAGATTGTAGTATTATTTGTAAGAATTCTCCATGGTTCAGCTGTTCTAAGATATGCAAATATCTTCCCAAACATTACAGACCCTGAAATTCTATGGCTACATAATATTTTTATTTTAAGAAAGCACACTTGTCACTTTTGCTAAAAAGATCCACAGTATTGACAGGAAGAAAGAAAGGAAAGAAAAGAAAACCTGAGGATACAGACAAGAAATTTATAAGCAATAGAAAAAACATGGGAGAAACCTTCTCTCTTACCAAAAATGAAGAAAGCCTACCCTACTAGATTCTCCTGAAATACAGACTGAAAAATCTTCAGTAAATAGCACATCTTCCTGCTATCCATCCAGAGCTGATCACAAAAATACAGTAATTATATGAAATGCTTACAATACATCTAACATACAAAACAGTAATAATGATGCATACAATTATCTCAAGAGGAACTATCTTACAAATTTCATCAAAGTATAATACTAAACTCTGATCTGATATGTTCAGACTATCAGTTTGCTGCTCATGAGCATTAACAGTCTGCTAACAATTTTAAGAATTAGGAAAGGGCCAAGAATTTAGCTCAGTGGTTCTGCCACCTCCCTTACAAGCACAAGGACCCAAATTCGATCACTGGTACCAAAAAACAAAACAAAACAAAAAAAACTGTCTATATAAGAGCAGATGCCAAGAGCATGAGGGGGAGGTGGGATCATGAAGAGAAAAATGTGATCAATCATGTTGACCATATGGTTGACTAAGCTTCTAAAGATATTTTAAAGAATTTAATCAAGTGCAACACTAGTGATTATGTATTAAGGAAATGCAAAGAGCCATACCTCTTCTCTATGATATGGATAGGCAAGACTACAACAAAAATTTTTAAGTAATGGAAGTTTCAGAAAATAACAGAAACTAGTAAAACAAGCCATTTGAAAAAATTATCATATCCAAAAACCACACCACAGTACTGCATGAAAAAAGCTAAAATTAAACTTTAAAATTCTACTTACATAGTCCCTTTAAAAGAACAAGTTAATATACAGTATGAGAAAAATGGAAGCAAAAGATATTTCAGATAATTCCAAGCACCTTTTAATTCCTAGAATCTAAAAACTTATATTCTGTACAAGATATATTTTGAAGGAGTTTCATGTAGTTTGACAATAGCCAAAATTCTTCAAGTTAAAGTGAACTTTAAAATCAGTATTAAAATCATTTTATGGAGGACAGTGAAAACACAGTGACGACAAGATCCAGTGTACAATCACTTTAACAGAGTCATTGTATCAATCTTGCTCATTATGCAAATATTCCTCAACCTTAAATATTAAATATAATACTTACCCCATATTGGTAAGTCATCTATGTACATCTGGTACCAATAGTGGTTTTTGATAGCATATACAAATGCATCTCTCTTTTCTTTATCTAAGTCAATTTCACAGTAAGTAGCTGGCATAACATCATCTGCATAAAATAAAAATTGCAAATTAGCCCATTGGCTTGCAAAACAGTCTTAAGAGAAACACAAGTATTTCCTAAAGTTAAAATTTCTATTTATAATAGTTGAGTTTGGGTGATAAATATATGGGGGTTCAGTATACTATTTTTCCTCTTATGTTTCTTTATATTTGTCTTATAATAAAAGAATTTTAACAATATTTATTTTCAAAGATTACCTTTACCTAAGTGAAAAAATTCCCTATATATAACAATTTTAAGAACATCAATAAAGTAACATTAAAACAAATTGATTTTAAAAATAAAAATAAAAGCTTAATATGTTATATGGTTTCCACTTTATACATGAAATATAATCCTAAACAGAGAGATCCTAAACAAAGAGATAATCCTAAACTAGAGGATTTCTGAGATTATTATTCATTTTAATATTCTTAGAACTATAAGGCAAAAGAGTCTATGAGGAATCCCAGTGATTCTTCATAATTAGAATGATTCAGGGCCAGGGATTTAGCTCACTGGTTTTGCCACCTGCCTCCCAAGTGCAAGGACCCAAGTTCGAGCCCCAGTACCAAAAAAATAAATAAATAAAATAAAGATTCAAAGGCAAACTTCTAGCCACCAAGTATCACTGTTCCTAAACTACTTGAAAGACCTCCTAAAAATGAATCATTTCCACTCTTGACTACTTTCAAAAACACCGTTATTAATCTGTTCAGTCTTTATAAGACTGTTTCAAAAATACGTTGTTTCTAATAAAAAATCCCTAAACCTGCAAATATTCTAAATGCCAAACAAAAAGATTAAACGATTTAGTACATTTCATGGCTTGTGTTTAGATGTCCCCCAAAGCCTCACGTGGATGAGAAAGGACATTCTTTTTCAGAAATAGTTGAACCTGAAATGTGTGATTACTAAACCACTAGGTGTGAGTGATTAGTTTGGCAGTGCCCAAATCCTGGTAGTCTAAATAAGATAAAAAGGGCAGAAAAATGCTGTTAAATGCTCTTATTTCCTTTGCTGCCTTGTGTGTGCCATGTTGTTTCTGTTCTGCCAGGCCTGTTTGTCATCCCTGCCTTGGAGTTTGATTATGAACCGAAACCTCTATGAACTATAAGCCAAATAAATTCCCTTTTAACTTTGGGTGCCAGGTATTTTGTCTCAGCAATGAGAGAGAAAGGTAACTAACACAGTATATTACTTAAGCAATTAGGAAAAAAAGTCAATCTTAACAGGAGTAAAAAAGAAAGTACAGGCTTATTTTAAATTCTCTTAAACTGTAGGGCTGGGATTTAGCTCAATGGTTCTGCCACCTGTGTTGCAAACACAAGAACCTGAGTTCAATCCCTGGTACCAAAAAAAAAAAAAAAAAAAAAAAAATTCTCTTAAACTTTTCTTTTCTGGTACTGGAGATTGAACACAGGACTTCACACTTGCTAGGCAGGTGCTATACCACTGAGCTACATCCTCAGTCATTTTTTTTAGGACATGTTTGCAGCATATGCAGTTTACAATCATCTTGGGGACTGGGTACATGTACATACTACAGCAATCTGTATCCTTTTTTAATCCCTTTCATCCCTCTTTAAATTTCCTATCCAGATTTTCATTCTTGCTGATATTATTAATCTTAGCTCATATTATGGCATATAATATTTGCATTCATTGAGGTTATTAGGTTTCTGTAGATGGCATATCTTCATTCTACTTATTTCCCCTTCCCTTCCTACTCACCCTGTCCTTGTTTCCTTGGACCCCTTCCCTATATTATTTAATAAGAAAGAGCAATCTGGTCTGGGGATTTAGTTCAGTGGTGCCATCGCCTGCCTCGCAAACACAAGGTCCTGAGTTCAATCACTGGTACCAAAAAAAAAAAAAAATCTGAGTTATAACTGAAAGATACTCCACAACATATCTATCTAACCCTCCAGTGATTTTCTTTCTTCCAGGGCAGCAAGGAATTCAGGATTTTCATACGGTTAAAAACAGGCTGAGCCGTGAAGCAAAGAAGTTAGGAAATATGATGTTATAAAGGGTTCCCACAAGAGCGAGGAGAACTGTCAGCCTGTGGTCCCCAAATGGGATCATCATAGAGTGTGACTATGAACAAAGGGCAGCAGGCAACTGCATCCACAGAGAGGACAAGCAGAACAAAAGGAAGGTTCAGGCTTAATGTGGCAAGTGGCTGAAGTGGCAGCCGGAGACCTCACAACTACCTCTGCAAAGCCAATAAATTCCTTGCTGTTATAAGATGACATGTTTATAATGGTCATTAACAATGTGGTAGTTTTAAAGATGAAGTTCTGGGCTATACAGTATGACATTTACCTGTATGCAGCTTCTAAAAGCTTTCTCACCGTCTGAACTCTAGTTCAACTGTTTCCCAACTGATCTGTCATCCTCTCTCCCTACTCTCCAATGCAACTACTCACAGTTCCTTCATACCTTCTGCTTTTGGCCTCTGGATTCTGGTTGTGCTGTTAACTCCACTTCAAAGTCACATTTAAAACCTTTCCCATCCCATCCCCTCCTCCACAGAGTAGTTCCAGATCCCCACTTCGCACAGTCTACCCCTTTCTCTAAAGTCCTATGGTTTTCTTTCTATACCTTCCTAATAGCACATTGGAACCAGCTGTTAGCTCCTACGAAACACCTGAGACCTTGAGGGTGTTGTCTGTAACTGACTACTTCCTTTTTATTCCTAGCTATGCTTGCTTCAGTACCCTGTAATTAAAAAAAAAAAAAAAAAAAAAAAAAAAAAAATCGAACAAATTTTAAGTGTAACTTTTCCATTTATTTTGCAAAATAAATCACTACGAGTATGCACATATGTATGCATCTGTGTATGAATGCTATGTGTGTGGTGTTGTAGAAGTAAATGTCAATATAAAATGAAATCTTTAAGCAATTTCTCACCAGACTGCAAGAAGTCTTGAAGAGTATATTTCACTGATGTAAAATCTAGGAATCAACTGTGGCAAATAGGAAAAATCTAACATGGCAAGTTGTATAAATGATTGGTTGTGTTTTAATGAAATTCTTCTTCTAAGCACAAGTAGGCAATGCAACATCACAGATAACTAAAAAACCTGGTTACCCAACAGAAACTTCATTTCTCTCAGAGGGAAGCTGATTTGAAGAAAACTAATGCAATGTATATAAACATACCAACTCACTGTTCATCGCTCTATGTAACTGGAAACAATTGAGAAAAATCACCATAAATTATGGCTTGAAAATTATAATAGGGCACACCTTTCTCAGATAAACCACAACCTATGAATTCTGAAGAAGAAATTAAGATTTTTACCAATATAGCCAGGTGTGGTGGCACATGCCTATAAATCCCAGAACTCTGGGTGTCAGAGGCAGAAGGATCACAACTTTGAGCCCCGCCTGGGCAATTTGGCAACTTAATGATATCCTGTCTCAAAATAAAAATGAAAACTTTTAAAATGGGATGTAGCTCAGTGTGAAGGTCCTAAGGTTCAATCCCTAGTACCACTAATAAATAAAACTCCCCCAAAACAAAACACCAATATAAATATTTTTTACAGGGAAAAATAAAACAACCAAAGTTATAAACTGGCAAGTTCAAACAGCAGGCAAGGTTTGGCAGTCTGGACACTAAGCTTCAATATGTCTCAATTCCCATAATACTCCAGACTAGTAAGTATATAGGTAGTGAAAACTTTAAGTATATGTTAAATATTCATGAGTTCTCTAAGAACACAGCATGTCATCATATTTTATGTATTACATTATCAGAAATACTCTACTTCAAATTCAGCAGCATTTAGCAAAGTCTTTCATGAAATCACTACAAACACGTATAGAAGTAGGCAGAAATGAGTTTCAATCTGAGATCATCCCATATTTAATAGCTATGCAAATAAAAGCAATTCACTGGACCTCTATGAAAATCAGTTCCATCAACTATAAAACAAGAACATCTGCACTAACTCCTTCCCACAGCTTCAGGAACTCAAAATACTGATATATTCTTCAAGTGTTCTTAGTGTGCTTGACCTTGCACCCCTTCGAGAAACTGACCAAAGAAGTACCTCCCTTTCCCCTCCAAAAAATGCACATGCATACAAAATTAAGTGTACAATTTCAGAGGGTCTATAAACCCCTGAAGCCAGAGCTCCTGGGTGAACTCTGCATATTGAGAGCTTATCTAATGCTGGAATGCAATTAGGCACTCAACAACTACCAAATGAATTAAAAGAAAATATGGACTAGAAAAACTGGTGTATTTACAGTTAAGTAAAATCTAAGAGTACTGATTAAATGATCAACCTGACTGGTGACATAAACTGCAGTTTTTGTTAAATAGATATTCCATACTAAGTATCAAAAACTTTCTTTAAAATGTTTACAGCCTTTAATTCAGTAATTCTATATCTAAGAATTTATCCTAATAAAACATTAAGAAATCATTAAAATACTTACACATAAGAGAAGCCAAATACTTTGTCATTTGTAATAGCAAAAAAGGGAAAGAAAAAACAAAGAAGGAAAGAAATGAGGAAAGAAGAGAGAAAAGACACAACAGAAAGAAGAGGGAAGGAAGAAGGGTAGGCCAGTTAAAATATTTACAACTAGGGAATGAAGAAAGATTATAGTATCAAAGTTGTAGTCTATGTAGCCATATTTAGAATAATAATTAACAATATAAAGATAAATTCATAAAACTTTAGGAAAAAATAAGCAAGATAAAAACTAATTAAATAAATGCTTACAGATCTATTAAACTTTTTTAGGGCTGGGATTTAGCTCAGTGGTCCCGCCACCTGCCTTGCAAGCACAAGGACTTGAGTTGGATCCCCAGTACCAAAAAAAAAAAAAAAAAGATTAAACTTTTAAAAAATATACATATGTGGGATGGGGATTTAGCTCAGTGGTTCCACCGCCTGCCTCACAAGTGCAAGGTCCCAAGTTCATTTCCCAGTACCAAAAACAAAACAAAACAAAACAAAAAATTTCCAGTACCAAAAAAAAAAAAAACAACAAATATACACACATACAAAACAAACTCAATGTTTATATATTTTAAAGCAATATGGATGAATGGAAAGGAAAATAAAGAAGAACAGAAAAAAATACAGTATACTAAAATGATAATGGTAATTATATCAAGGTGATTTTTATTTTCCTCTTTATATTTTTCTACATATACTAAGTTGTGTACACTAAAACTGTATCACTGTTAAGATCAGAAAATAATACATATACATTTCTTTTTGGGGAAAAAAAGATGTGGAGGGGAACGATGTTATAAATGGTACAAATAAGGACTTATAAAAATACCATACTCATAAACTGCAGGCAATACAAAAATCACTAATAACAGAAATGAAAACTAGAATACAAATAACTGATTAATTTCATGTTCAATTATTTGGTCTCACTAAAACACTTTGGTTGAAACCAACAGGACAAAATATTGCATCAAGTTTCCAGGCTTCCAATTAAACAAGACAGATTTAACCATAAGCATGTTTCTTCCCCTTCCTGAAGTACATTAAAATATAAGTAAAGGAATTTTTAAAAAAGAAAAAAGTAAGTTCACCATGACAGAAAGAAAAGAAGACAGTGGAGAAAAGATGCCAACAATTTTGGAAAAATGGAAAAACATGAAAGATGACAAGTGCCACCACATAAATCGGGGGAACACACTTTCTAGGGTGCCTAAAGAAGGAAGGGGAAAGGTGTCGCAGGACTCAAAAAAGACACTCAGGGGGAACCCAAGACTTGAAAGGTACAGGACAGATGTAGGGCTGAACGTAAAGGGAACTGCACACTGAAACTTGTACAGAGGGACTGGATGCCCAGTCCCCTCCACCTATCATACTACTGGATAAAATCCTCAATTTATCTCCTGAAGTAGACCAGAGGAAGACCTTCCCCTAGAAAACTTCTGAGGATCCAAAAACAGGAAAAAAGCTAGGATGCAGAGTGGGGAATGATTTTAGGTAAAACTCTTTCCTCTGAATAAGAGGGCCTGCCATCATCCCTCTAAGCCTTTTCCCCCACCCTCTGACAGCGAGGCCTACACCATCTAAGAGATCTATGGATGCAAATATCCCATACTGAGGACCAGAAAAGCCAAAGTGAAGAATCATTGAACTAGAAATGTGTAAGGCTCTGAGCAGTCCTTGGCATTTCTACATACTTGCAGTAGTCTCAACTTAGCACTTCATTCTAGATAATAAGAAAATACTTGTATAATAATTTTATTCCTCTATTAAGAAGGAATATTCAAAGTAAATATAAATAAAACAAATGAAAGGAATGAATCCTCCACACATCATTAATTTTCAAAGATTAACATGTTTTATTACATTTCAGGATTCTCAAATTAGGAAAGGCCCTGGGCAGGGACCTCCCCTAGCTAAGAATTACTATTCTAGATCACTCAACAATCAAAATGAACCAATTACTGTAATAACAAGTAGGCATAAACCATCTTGGTATTAGACAGATTATTAAGAACTTACTATCTCTTACTTGCAAGAGATATAATGATAAACAAGAACATACTGCCCCAATGTGGAAGGACCACAAGGGTAGTACAGCAACTTGGGGACAAATCAAATTTTATAATCAATAAATTAATTTTAATCTTTCATAATTACTATGCAAAATCAAGTTGGAACTATAAGCCCATACCAGGGACCAGTAGTCATCATAAAAACTACTATTTCTCTCATGGCTATGTATCCTGAAACTGATAAATATATTACCTCATTTAAATCTCACAATGATTTTATCAAGTAAATATTATTTCCCACACTTCACAGATGAAGACTATGAATAATTTGCCTATAACCACAGGTACATAGAGGACAGGATATAGTAAGTCTTTCTGACCCTAAAGCACACGTTTCTGCTCTCTATAATGTTAAGGTTCTATGAGGTACACTCTAAAATTAAGAGGGTGATAAATTCAGGCCCAGTTCGAAGATGCTGAATTTAAGTCCATCCTTGTACAATTTTTGTATTTTCTCTAAACTGTCTCAATTAGTCTAACACTAGAATATAAGAAAAAAACTGTATAAATTCTTAAATGGGAGGCGTACATTAGACCTAAACTATTATTAGTTCCTTAAAATAGTCTCTCTAGTGACCTTCATTTTCAAAACAATGCTAATCCATTAAGTTTGACAGAATCTGCAAGGTTTGAAAAATAAGAAACAAAACAAGCCAGGCATGATGGCACATACCTGTAATCCCAGCACTTAGGAGACTGAGTCAGGAGGATAGGCAAAGGTTCAAGCCCAGCCTTCTTCCAAATTTACAAGTCTCTGACACAAAATTTCAATATCCCATAGGTGTTTGCAGAGCATATTAATACACTGATGAGCACATACTCAGTTAATGGTACAAATCGAAATTTGAGGATTTACACAAAATTTATTTAATAACCCATATTATCTCTTTAAAACTTTTATTTTTATGTAATACAAATGGATATTAAGAAAATATAAAAGCACTCTTCTATGAAAAAATAAATCAAAATTTCATAACAAGATAATTCAAGAATAGGTACTATGCTTAATATCATCATAAAAGAATAGTCAAAATGTTACTCAGTGTATAAGTCATATACAAAAAAGAAATGAATAAGAGGACAAAACTTTCTTTACAATGAATAAAAAGAAACTAGTATAGTCTCATACCTCCAGAAATTATGTATTTATGAAGGCCTTCCCTGGCTTACATATATCTAATCACTAGAGGGTTCACTAGAAAACATTTTGGAGGAAGAAATATATTAAGGAAGCATAGATGGATTAACAATTTACTCTGCTAAACATCCTACAAAATATATAATAGCCCTGCATAACAAAAAAATCATCTGACCCCAATGTCAGAAGTGCCAAAGAAACTGGTCTACAGTCTAACTCATATGGTGAAAACTATTAAGGTTTACTTACCTTTAAATTTTATATCCAAACCACTAAATTCTAATTCAACTCCTTGAAGTGCTTCTCCCAGAGTTTCATGGTAATGACTGATACTTTTTTTTGACCCCACACAGAATGGAAGTGAAAAGTACTTATATGTTTCTTGGCGATTATGGTAGGGCCCAACAGTATTCATCCATAAGACAACTTCCTCTTTATCTTGATACTGAAACAAGAAAAGCAAATAAAGATATACATATATATCAATCTAACAAACATTAAGGAAATATGTTATCTGTTCCTAACAAAAGTGTATTCTCATTGTTCAAGAAGCTATAAAATAACTTATTGGCTGTTTAATCTGATGACCAATGTCTATTCCTTCCATCAAACTGTAAATTTTAAAATTGTATCTTCTGGTTGTGGTCTCAGGATCCACCTTTCTAAACTTTGTTTTACAAAAGATGGTGTTTAAACAAAGGCCAATAGCTCATAATATGTTTAAAATTAGTATTTATATTATTAAATAATGGTAAACCTAAAACCAACTTAATTCACGAGGATCCCATGGGCAAGGAAGAAACAAAATCAACAGTTTAATCCCAAACTTCATGTTAATTATTAGATATAAAAAAAAACTAATGCTGCCAGCATGTATAAATAAAATCTCCTTTCCCTTCTACTCCTTCATACGGCCACTGGTAAAAGTACTAGTGAGAAATGACTAAAACAGGAAGAAAAGCCAGTCTATGAAACCACCACAAGTCCATCCAAGCCAACATTCCATCTGTTATTAGCCTGAAAGACTTGTTTTGCGAGCATATTTTTCTAAATAAGTATGACTCTATCCATCAGCAAATACTATATATAGCAAAATATGGAGTGCAGTCCAATGACTTACATTGGCTAACTTTACCTTTCCAAGGTCTGACTGTGGGATCTTCCAGAGATTCCTAAGATCTCTACAAGTTTAAAATCCCTATGATTTTAAAATTACCTAAGTAATTTAAAAACTAGTAATTCTAATTAGCAACATTAACTTAAGCTATTATAAGGAACTTAAATCAACTCAACTAGTGGTACATAAGTTAACCAATTGATTAATTATTTACTGAGTACCTAACATGTGCCAGCAACTGTGTTTATAACTGAGAACTCAGCTTGAACAAGACATACTCCTTGATCGACTGATGTCTAAAGGGAAAAATGAACACTGAACAATTTCAGTAAGGCAGGCTGTTATGGAGGAAGTAAAAGAGGAAGCTAGCTACCCAACTAGCTAACTAAGAAATCCTTAGTCCTTTTATGCCAAGTGTTCCATTTTTGGAACACCTATAACAGAACATAATAAAAAAATTTCTCATCAAATTCTTGTTCCTTGCATTTTTCTAGGTAACATACATGAATTTCATGTAAACACAAAAAAATTGCAATCTTCAGCCACGTTCCATCTAAAACTAATCAATGAAATAAAATATTATGTTTTGTTTTGTTTTTGTGGTGCCTGGAATAGAACCCAGGCCTCACAACATGGTAGGAAAACATTCTACCAGTGAGCTAAAAAACCTCAGCTTTAAATAAATAGTTTCAATTAAAACCTGACAGGGCTGGGGATTTAGCTGTGGTTCTGCTACCTACCAAACAAGCACAAGGTCCCAAGTTTGAACCCGGTACCAGCAAAACAAAACAAAAAATACTGACAACCCTAAAACCAAATTCATCTCACCCAAATCTACCCTTTTCAACTTTTTCAATGATACTACCATTCTCTCAAACATGGAGACTCAAACCCCAAGACCTCTGTATCCAGAAAATTGAAAAACATTTAACTTGTTTATTCCTAGTCAAACATCTGCCTCTTCACTTTGATTCATATCACCACTACCACCCTAAGACTTAAAACTAGTCACCTCCTCTTCAAATAATCATTGTATTTATATAAACAGATATATAAATTATCCAAAACTATGCACTTTAAACAAACAATAGGCTGGCTTTGTTCACTGTAGTTTAAGTAACTGAGTTTCATGCTTCCAACACGGTATTATCCTTGTCCCTATAGCTTCCTAATTAGTCAAGTCACTCAATATGCACTGGTTAAATACTACTGGTTGTAGCAAGCTACCATTGCTTCTTGGAGTATATAACAGATTGGAGGACCAGGAAAGGGGAGTGATTTTGTGATACTGTTGAGAACACAGAACTCATGAATCCCATAGCTACAGTGTGAGCCATAAATTGCCCCGAGATTACTTTGCCCTTTATTATTGGTATTTTAGTGAGGACATTTTTACATTCTGCTGCTATGGAAATTAAACATATAAGATAGGGAGAAAACACAACCAAAAATCGGGAAGGTCCAATTTTTTCTGTGACCTTGGGCCAGCCACTATGGGTTCAATCAGCCATTAGGAAAGTGAATTTGGATTAAATGATCTCAAGTCTTCCCAGTTCTAAAGTTCTGTGATTCACTGAGGATTTACCTCAGCAGTTCGGTGGCCTGCCTCACAAGCACAAGGACCCGAGTTCAATCCCTGGTACCAAAAAAATTAAATAAATAAATCAATCAAATAAAGTTCTGTGATTCTTAATTTGAAACCATTTTCAATGAAGTCATGTGGCATCTGAGGAGATACAGCAATTTAACTATAGATGATTTCTTGTGCTTCATCCAAACAAGCATAAATTATACCTTATACTCCTACCTTTCAATTAGTATGAAGAAACCTTCTGATAACCCTTCAAACAATTCAGAGCCTGTCTTTCACTAAAGTTTTTTTTCAATTTTTTAATTTCAATTATTTGTCCTATAATCTATATGATTTAGCTTTTTTTTTTTTTTTTTTTTTTTTGCAAGGCTGGTATTGAACCCAAGGTCTTGTGCATATTATGTAAGTGCTCCACCACTGAGCTACATCACCAGTCCTGATTCAACCTTTACAAATTAAAAGGAGCACATCTTTGCATAGTCTAATGTATACACACACACACACACACACACACACATATACTTTATACACACACATACACACTTTAATTTGTAGGACCCAGTACAAAATAAAAATGCAGGATTCCGTTAAAAATTTTAGAATTTGAGGATGGTGGCAACAGTGTTAAAACAAGCAGTACTATGTGACTTCAGCTAAAAAACCCATTATAGTCCATGAAGTTAACTTTATCCCTCTTTAATGCTAACCCAAACATCTCCTTAGTAACAACCTATGCAGCTAGACCAATCTAAACATTTCCTTAGCAACCTAATAATACTATCAATATAAAGACCTACTCCATTTAATACAAAGTGTTTTTTTAGTCCTAGTCTTAGGCTAAAGGGCAGTACAGTATATTAGCTGAAAGTGTTAAAGACTTTTGAGACAGCTCACTATGTAGACCAGGCTGGCCTTGAACTCTAGCAATCCTCCTGCCTCAGCCTACTGAGTGATTACAGACAAAAGTATGAATTACTACACCCAGCTGAAAAGATTCAAAACCCACCTCTGCCTCTCCAAGGGGCGTGGTCTCATGAAAGTGACTTTATCACTCTGACCTTAGTTTCCTCATTTGTAAAGGGTATATCACCATCCACTTTACAGGATCATTAATGTATGTTTAATAGGAGTTAATATGTGTAAAGCATTTAGAACAATGTCTAGCACATATTGCTATAAAAACCATTAGTTTTATTTCTATCTGGAAACAGTCTTCACAGAAAGTTAATCGAAAGAAAAGCTTTAGTTTCTGAAAACTGTTAATTAATAATTCAATTTCACGAGTATTTATTAAACATTAACCCAGCAGCAACCTTCCCTTGCAATTTGTTCCCTTTAACACTTTCATTCTCTCTTCACTAGCTCCTTCTACCTTCTTGCTGGAGGTCAAAAAAAAAAAAAAAAAT